TCACAGATGAAGCGTCCTGAACGCTTACACGCTGCAGAATGATCAACAGCGTAGCATCACTTAACACCTCCATCCCGTCACATAGTTGCCATTTCTTTTTTGTGGTGAGAACATTTAACGTCCACTCTCTTCACGACGCTCAAGAATAGGATACAGTGCTGTCAGCTCTAATCACCAGGCTGTACATTAAGTCCCCGAACTTACTTGTTTCGTAACTGGAACTTTGCACGCCCTGACCAACACCTCCCCTTCCCGCTTGCTGCAACCCCAGTAACCACCTTTCTAATCTCTCTCTCAGTTTGACTTTTTTAGATTTGACATAATTCAGTCGTGGGGTGATTTTTGATTACAGACTCAATGTATTTAAGGTGATAGAGATTTTCCATTTATTCTTATGTCCATGTGGTAAATTGTACATTTGAAGACATCTGTTTCATCTACATTTTCTACATATTGACGTCACATTGTTGACAATGTTCTGTTACTGTTGTTACAAAGGACTTGTCATGCTGTCTGCAGTTTCCTTCCTGGTTGTAGAAATGTGTGTCTTCTCTCTTTTCCCTTGGCTGTTGTGGCTAGGTTTACAATGTTTTCAAGAATGAATTTTTTCCCCTTAATTGATTTTTCTCCACTTTTTTTGTCCTCATTTGTCGCTAGACTTGTCATTATTAGTCCTCTCCTTCTACCTTCATTTAGAAGAATTAGCTGTTTTTTCCCTAAATTCTTGGTATGAATCATTAGGTTACTGATTTTTTTAGGCTTTTCTTATCTATTTATTCATGGTTCTTAATTTTCTCAGTTCATTGGTTTGACGTGTAATATTTATGCTATCATTCATTGAAAACATGCTCCCTCTTTTCCTTTGGTTTTCAGTTCACATACTGAAACTGAGAAGTCTCTTGCATTATTTCCAAAATGTAGGGATGTTAGTTATCTTTGAAGGTAGAATCAAGTGACTCTCAAAGGGCCCAGGGGCCCCTGGGTCTGTGTTAGGAGCCCAGGTCGGCTGGTGGCCATCAGGTGGTGTCCACCGAGGGCAGCTTCTGCACCTTCCGGCGTCCCTGCAGTCTCCCCCCCAGAGCGCGGGCTCTGGGTCCCCTGGGCTAGTGGATGGCTAGTGTGGCGTACACGCTGGGCTCTGCGGGGGGCTCCCCCGACTGGGAGGGAGGGGCTGCAATCGTCTCCCGTCTGAGGGTTGAGTGGGTCAGCTGGGCGTAGGTCACATCCTGGGGGGCTTCAGATGCTGCAGCCTGTAGTTGGTGGAGGGTCAGAAGCATGAGGTTGGGGGAAGCCAGGAGACTGGAGAGGATGGGACCCGCTTGACTGTCCCTCTGCCTGTCCTCTTCCACTTGTCTGTCCTTTGTGTCCAGCAGTCCCCCCAACAGGGGAGAAAGACAGGTGGCAATTCCTCACCCTAGGCTTGATCTTGATCACCTGGGCGTACGTCCCTCCCTGAGGGTGCGTCCCACCTCGGGGGCCTCCATCCGGCCTGTTCTGCTGGAGGGAGACAGTGAGACAGGAGCAGCACCTCTT